CAAGAAAAGGGCACTTAAGGGAATAAGACTACAGCTTGCTCTTCTGGGTTACATTAAAAACCATTGATTTCCGTCTGTTACTTGAACAAAACAGAGTGCATTTTTGATAAAAATAAAATTGCTTATTTTGGAGAATACACGTTAAATATATTTTATGTTTATGGTCTGTAAATTGGGCAGTTCTGTTCTTCTTAGTTACTTAATAATACAAGAGGAAGTCACTATGCACAAAAGACCTATTTGCACTCTAAGCACAAAAAGCTTTCATTACATCATTAGAAGCACTACAGAAAGCGTCCCACCTGCTAGTCCATTCGCCTCCTCATTCAGCAAAGCCCCTGTGCTGAAAAGCACCTGTGTGTGTGCTTTGAGTTCAGCATGCGCCTAAGTACTGTTCTAAACAGATGTCAACAGCTACATCTTTTTACTTTCCAGGCTAATTTCATTTCCCCTTTGCTCCTCTTCCCTCAGCAAGAGGAGAGATCATTGCCACTGTAGAAAGCTGACCAGTCAAACCTGCAACTGCCCTTTTTCCTGGCACTTCTGCAATAGTCAAACCCCAGGTTTAATACTGCAGTCAGACTCAAGACACCTGTGCTTTTACAACACATACGAACATGTCGGCCCAAACATGATGGCCGAAATATATAATAAAACTCCCAGGTTTCCTTCCTTCCCTGCAACACCTGTGACCCCAGCTTAAGTGGCTGGCTGCAGCGGCACGGGAAGCTTTGCACCACGGGAGCAGAGCAGGGCAGCTGGGATACCCTAGAGCAGATGACCTCTTCTACTGCTGTGCATTACGCTTTGATCAGCAGCTTTCTTTTGCTGCTGCAGATGGAAAATACCTGTCACCAGCATTTGCCTCTGTTCACACGAAACATGGGAGCATTAAAAGACAGGATTAGTAGCATAACTTCCCCAAGGCTGCCTTCAGAGGCGACCTCACCTACACATCTCCTACTGCTTCCTCCTTTACTCCCAGGGCAGGAACACTGAACCTACCTCAGTGATGCTAACCTCGGGTTGATGGTCTCTTCAGGACTATACTTTAACTCAAGTTTTAGATTATAAATCCCTTCAGTGTTCAGTCTAACAGTATCCGAGGCTACCAAAGCGTGTATCAGAGCCCTGCAGACTGACCAATCTTCATAGAAAATAAAAGGTGAAGAAGAAATTGTTGTTAGGCTTTGAAATAGTCTTTGAATAGCAAATTCATTAGGAAAATTGAACTAAGAAGTGTGTGCCTTACATGCCGTCATTACAAACTGCAATGTGGGAGCCTGTGGAATGGTTAGCCATTTTTCAGTCTACTCACAGTGTCCAAGTGGCTTTGACGCGCACTGGTGGTAACTTAGCTAATATTACTCATGCGGGCAGAGAAGCAAAGGATCAACTTAAAATTAGGGAAAATGTTTTGTCATTTTCCTTTAAAATGAGGCAATGGTTGCTATAGAGAGACGGCAAAGTGTGGTTTTATCACACACAAGCTAAATCACAGACTAAAATAATTTAATTTTGAAACTGTGGCAAAAGTTTGCAAATTATGGCAACCTCTTTGTAACAGAGTGGTATGGGAACTGTGCATATATGTTTTGGCATAGCTAAATGCATGCAGAAATTCAGGATGAGCTTTCTAAAGCCAAATAGGATACAGTCATACTGAAATTCACAGCAACTTGGTGGCTAGACCTTCTAGCCAGCCTTAAAAAAAAATCCCTCCTTTTTTATGTTCTATACTAAGTCAAGAGAGTATTATTAAGATTGCTAAGTCAGGCATTCAAGAGTGAGGTAATGTCAGAATTAACGCCGTCTGTTCAACCCTAATTTGGCCCCTTGCGAGTATGAATTATGATATTGCCTTTAATTAGATGATCACACAATATTTTTTCCTATGCCTCATTCATAACACATGATGGATGGTGTTCACTGAATGATGAAACTGTATTTTGTTTTTGCCTTGCGGTTCAAGGTGTGGCAGCCTGCCTTATTTACTGCATGCTATATTCTTCTCTGGCAACAAAACTAATGATTCCTTCACAGAACTTTCTATGTGGTTTATCATTACAGCTATGACATACTCAACAAACATTACTAATTTAATTTTACTGCAGTCCTCAAGGGAAAAGCTAGAGTTTTTTCACTTAGTTTATGCATCTAGAACCTATTCTCATTGCTCAGGTTTTTATCAAAGCTTTGCTTCCTTCATATTTGGTCTAGGCAGCTTTATTTGCATCAGCTTTGGGGAGGTACTGACATTACTTGGGAACCAAAGTCGGGCTGCCCATTCTGGTGTGCGTCTTGTCGAGTCAGGCCTGCAGAAAGCCAACAGATCAGGGACGGTAGGGAAAATCCTGTTCAGCCACAAGATGGATCATTCCCAAAGTTGATAAACACTTTGACTTTGGAGGATTACCTGTGTGCTACAGGGAAGTGCAAACATTTTTTCTAAAACTTGGACAAATATGGATAGATTTTCCCCATAAATTCAGAAGTATTACTAACATAAACAGTATCCTTCTTCCAAAGACCCAGCTCCACAGCAAGAGGAAAGTAGAGAAAAGTTTTCCAGACATTTTTTTTTTTTTTTCATAGACTTGCACTTGGAAATAGACGACTTGGTCTGACAAAAGGTTTTCCACCAAAAAAATAGTTCCCCCAAGAGAAATACCTTTCAGGGACAATTTCAGCCAAGATGGTTGAAATTTGGCAAGCTTACAAGTGACTTTTACTTTAGTCATCATTCATCCATCATCTTTCTTAAGAATGATGGATTGTGTAATTCTAAAGGGAATGAACAGAGTCTAGAAGAGCGCTCTCTGGGTACACAGGCCCGTTAAGTTATTTATATCATGGTTCATACATCATAGGCTGGATTTAATGCTCTAAAATGTTTTTGACTTTAAATACGATGATTCAAAGCCCATAGGAGGTGGAGAACTTTTTGAGATCTGACTAGACAAATTGAGTTCAAACCTTCTTGGAATACTATAAATTTCCTCAACCCAAATGAAACGGACCACATTTTCTGTCACATATATTGCCTTTGGCTAACATCGCCAATCTCAGGGGCTTAACGGAGATCTAAGCTTGGTAGTCTGTTTTTTTTTTGAGGTGCTGAATATTCACAAATTCACAGATACAAGGGATGACAAATTTAAGTGTCCCTATGCTGTACCTCTGAAAGGGAGTCTTCTTTCACTTGGACACATACCTATGGATTCAGTGACGCAATTTTCATCTCTGATGTTTCTGTTCTCTTTATATTCTTACTACATTTCCAATATCACCTTAATGACATGGTATAAGAAGAAAAACTTACCTTGAGCAGGTGCAAAACTTACTGAGAAAGAGGAATCTTTCCAGCAACAGTCAGTTTTTGAGGTCTCAGCCATTCAGTGGTGCAATAAATACAGCAGAGACGTTCAGAGTGTGCTCTAACAGAATGTGTACAGCTGTGTGGCATTTTGGCATTTCTTATTTTTATTTAACGCATTCTTTCCATCAGAATGAATTCTTGAATTCAGTGAAGAAAACAATCCCCTTGAAATAAAAAAATTGCAAAAATGTCCTAGACTTAACAGCAGAGCATGAGTTATGCAAGTTCTTCAAACGACAAACAAGTCAACGGGGTTTGCGCTTTGGGCTTCCCACCCTAAGCCGCAGTTGATAAGCTCTCACAATGTCATGTCTGTCACCGCTGCTGCTGCTGTTGGAAAGTACAGTCAAATTCCTTAGCACATTCATTGTCCACTAGTACTTTCACGTGCTACCACAGCTTTCAGAAGCGGTGACTTTAAACGGTTCCTAGCTCACTAAACATGACTGAATCCATGTTTTCTTTCCTTCCTGAGTTTTGAAAGCCTGTTGCAAATAACAGACATCTTACCACCTCCAATACAACCATCTATTACAATCAAGCCGTAGTTATCTGTGGATAGAGTAACCATGTTGCAGTATTATTGTGCACATGTAATGCACAGCTCAGGTCCAGCAGAACATAATATCCCTAACACAAGGCCACACGGCTACAGCTAATTTGCTTCCAAATTCTGCTTGTTTTGTGTGTCCTGTCCTCCCTCTGTGGGACCATCAGAGGAGCTCCTCCTTCTTTATCTGGCCACTTACTTCCATGAACTTCCTAGTAACTTGCCTAGTTTTGAAATCTTTGCAACTCTGATCAACAAGTTAAGAATTACTAAGAGCACAGACAAACTCACAAATACAGTATCATCACAGAAGCCTTATTTTTGAAGGAAACCAACCAAAAAGCACATTGTTGAACTCGTGCACTGTTTCCTATGATAGTGTGTACACAAATACATTTAAAAAAATACTGTAGAGGCATGTCATGAGTTGCACGAGATCAGTTTCCCCCAAAACTGTTCAAAAGCAGAAACATGGTTAACTCATACTAAAATTCTGCAGAAATCCCTTTAACAAAAATCACACTTTAACGTTATACATCTTTGAAGTGCTCTGCATCTGTTAAAATAAATACATCTAAATACACTGAGTAAATATGTGATGTGAATACAAGACATTTGGATCTTAAAGTTACTTTTTTATAAATAATTTCTTGCTGAAAATGATTCCATTCACTTTATTTTAATTCCAGACAATTTTTCTGCCTACTAGAGTTCCTTCTTGATTCTGATAGTTAGACAGAATCCTGTCAAGTTTAAACAATCGCCAGTATTTTGCAACCAAATTCCTAATACAAAAAGGCATATGTTTAACTTTAAAAATTTGCTTATGTGCCTTCCTGAAGTAAGGCTTAAATGCTCTCTCTGGTACGACACTAACAGCTCAGCCCATCTACTGAGAACTTACAACTTGAAAATGCAGGATCAGGTCTTGCACTAGGAAAAGAAGAAGAAAAATCCTCATGTAGAAATAATATCATCTACAGTTGACACTGGAAAACCTGAAAATGTATCATTCAAACACCATAAATCCATCTAGAATTTCAAGAATCAGTATGAAGAAACAGAATCGCAGGGATAATTGGATCTTTATTTAGGCCTATTTAAGAAAAGTTGCATCAGATTCAGATAGTCTAAGACCGCAAGTAAGATTTTACTGGACTGATAAAATAATTAACACTGATTTAAGGCCGCTGTTACATAGTGTTACATTAGCATTTCAGTCAGATTGCATTCTCCTTCGGATACATTCATGCAATTAACTTCTACTGTATTTTTACACTGTACTTTGAAATACATAGGATTGTTTTGTTTCCCCATATTAGACCTATCTGGTTAAGCTTTTCTCAAACAATACAGAGAATGGATTCATTGTTCTTCTTGGTGGAAGTGAAAAGATTTCATGACTTAATGATTTAATGACTTATTTGATGCAAGAAATGCATGTTGAGAATGCCGTGGAGATAAATATACATCTTATATGTGTATGTCACATGCAAGCATGGAGAAATAGAATGGAGGTTGAAACATTATTATTATTATTAGCTAAAATCATTTTCCCTCCATATAAAACCCCAAAATACCATTGCACTGAGCAGAGGGCCCATTAAACTTCCTCCTTTCCAAAAGATTCCTCTCCATGCCAACCTCTGTTGGGGATGAGAAATCTTCCATGGAGCCATAAACAATCCTCCATGTTGCTCCTATTGTTCAGTCCAATTTCGGCTTTTCTTTTCCTTCTTCAACACCTGAAAACATATGGAAAGCAGCTTTTAAAAATCTCTGAATGAATAAAAATGAAGAGTTTACTTAGAGAGGTTCTTCTGATGCACTAATCTTTCTTTTCCCTCTATTGCTGTTGTTTCTCCCCTACTTGCTCACATGCTCTTGCATGTGTTACCTCACCTGCTGTGAACGAAAAGAGCATCTGCACACCTGATGGCAGTGGTTGTCCAGTAATGAACTGCACAATCCTCCCTCCCTCCGGACCATTTTCAAATCAGCCTAACCCCCTGCCGCACGCTCAGCCTTTGATGGCTGCAGGGGTCTGGGAACAGTTAGTTCCCTCACCTCCTCTGCTTACCTACAAGCAAATTAAAGTAGATGTTATTATAGCTGAAGCTAAGCAGCCGACTTCATTTGAAAGAAAGTTTTTAAAATTGTGTTTCAGAATTCAGTAACTTTACCCCCCCACCTCAACACTGGATTTTTAAATATTTGCAAGTACATCTTCCTTTTTTGAGAATACAAGAATGAAGAATCAATGACTGTTGATGGGTGCCTCTCTCTTCTTGTAACAGCCATGTCTTTCAGTAATATCAGGAAGGCTGAGCTGAGTGTAGGGCTCCTTAAAGAACTTATCCTTGCTGCAGGACTTGTCTCTTTTCTATGCTGAGCAAAGTCTGGGCTGGGCGGCAGATTGTGTTTTTTCTGGCAATGAAAACATTCAGCTATTTCATGTGCCTGTTCCTGGACAATGAATTACTATTGGTATCTGACAAAAGTATTGTTCTTCTGACTAAGCCCTCTCTGCCAGACATCTCAAATACAAATATTTCTTTTGGAGGTTTTCAGGCCTGCTGCATGCTGGAAAAGAAAAACTTCTGAGGACTGAAGGCAAAAGAGAAGCAATGTTTGAGAATGCTGAGAGGAAAATCCGGTCACAAGTAAGATCACCTGCTAATGCAATATATGCATAGATGGTAGGTACACTGAAAGTCACTTTAAAAACATAGTTAATTAATGCCAGTATGGGAAACAATAAGACCCACCTGCAGTTAGAAAGCACAACTGCAGAGCTGCCTTCCTGAAAGAAGCAACATGGAAACAAATGAGTGTGCGCCTTGCCAGCAGCCCAAGTACAACAGCCCTCGGTGTTGCTGGCAAACCAATGTAATGGGAAGAGCCACAGTTGAAGGTTTAACAACCAAAACAAGAGGCCAGGTCCAAAAGATTACAGTGGGTTTACAAGGCTGCTCCAGAGCCAATCTTGAGTCTTCAGCTTTCTGCTGGAAGGAACTTTTCCAATACTTTTAAATGAGCTGTTTTATTCGCCTTTTTAAAAGAGCCTCTCTCCTTTCTTCTGAAGCACTCTACTGCAGATGCATCAAATAGTTTGACAGGAACGCAGATACCCTCAAAACTGTGGACAGACACTGGCTTGTACAAAGGGCAAATTCTTCCTTGCCTACCATGTTTGTGGTTTAACTTGGAAAAACTAACTGCAAATCATTTTGTCAGTAGTGAGGTTTTATTTAATACATCTCCAGAGGAAAAGGAAAAAAACTCCCAACCCAAACCAACCCCCTCTCACCCCAGAAATCTTCTCATGGCAGACTGATCTAATTTGCAAGCTTACTGCTCAAAAGTCCCTTTTAAATGTACAGTTTTCAAATAGTATTTTCCCAAGTCTCGCATGGTGACACACTGGCATTGTTTTAAAACTCTGCTGTTTGTGGTGTGCCTGCCATATGCTTCAGGTTAGGTTTATGCAAAGTGTTTTAAGCACAGCAAACCAGCAGGCGACTCATGGCATTTTCTGGTTTGCAAGTGCTTAAGCCATAAGGGACTCTGGGTCAATATTCTTCACCCAAATCAAGGAAATGATGGAGAGGATAAGGCGGCCATGATGAACTTTGGAAGAGGTTGGAAGAATGACCCCACGACCTTCGCTCCTCTAGGGTGGAGGGCCACAAGAACCAGGGATTTTGTTATGCATACTGTGGAATAGTGAGGGAGATTTTCCACCATTTATGTATTCATGGACTTGGTAAGAACATGTGATTCTTAACCCGATTATTATTCTTCATACCAGACTTGGGTCAAGTGAAATTACTCCCTGCAGCTGCCTTTTTTAGAAACTTCTTTCCTGCATTACCTTAAATAAGTTAAATAGATGTGAATGTGTCATCAAACTGAGGACTGAAAACCAGACTTGAACACTGTGACCAATGATCCCTGGTTCTAGAGAAAAAAACAAAAGGACACTTTATACCTGGGTGCTAATATAAGCAAACAGCAAGTAAAACTGCTTTGAGCTTCTGGCGTTAGGTTCTACCTAGTACTGGAGGACTTGTTGAAAGAAATTTGTGTGTGCAATAAACTACCATGTGAATTTATGGTGTATTAGCCAGTGTACGCCAAGTTTCCCAAAAGGGGATACAGGCTGTTCATACGGTCCTAACGTGTTACGGGCCCAGCGAATGTAATGACAGAATTCCCACGGAGCATGGATTTCACTCCAGTTGTGATTTGCCACTGCGGCGATTATGAATGTTGTTTGCTTATTTCAGGCAATTTGATAAATGAAAAACATCTTTCGTAGATTAAAGGAACCTACTTTTAATCTTGTGTTTGTCTTATTTTCCCTTTTCCTCTAGTCAGCAATGGGTGGCCTAGGCAGGGTAGATGATGTAGAGTCTGCAGTTACGTTTACCCCGCACTAAGGTGATCTTTCATTCCTATTATTTTACTGACATGAATATATTCATTTTCCTTCAGTAAATTTTTAAGCAGAAAATACCTTATACCTGAAAATACTAGAAGAATCTATTTTTTTTTCTAAGACTAAGCTTACCATTAACAGCATTCCCACAGAATGATACTTTACCTGCATTTAATGGGTTCATCAGCTAATAATTGGGTTGTAAACCAAGTGGGTTGTAAACCTCTCAGGTAATTGCCAACAGCTCTTAAATTAGTATTGGAAGTTATAAAAAAGAATACATATTCATAGCTCATCATGCTCTCCAGCAGCCATTCCGTTCATCCGGCTGCTTTTAAGTGCAAGCAAGCAAGATGTTTCAGTGGAACTTCTGTGATTCTCCTTTGTTTTAGCCAGCTTAAAACCTTCTTGACTTTCAGGGGAGCATACTCAAGTCCCAACAGTGTATTTCATGAGTTAACATTCCTAAAACAATACTCACATTTTTGGGTATCCCAGATGTAGTTGTTCAGGACCTCTCCCACCAAGTAGAATATGTTAATTACTACGGTAACAGCTGCAAAAAAGATTATTTTGACACCCGGGCTGAGGTGCTCAAGAAGTGGGTACACCCACACTCCTGTAACATGGTGAATCCAGCACACCCTGAAACAAAACAAAAATAACAAGTACTGACTCTTACACCCCTGTTTTTCAAAAGTAGCTTGGGCTATAGGCTTAGCTACTGTAACCGAAAAGCAATTATTTGAAAGGACTGCAAGTTGCAACTGAATTGGAGCACCCAGATGACATCCACCCAGAACAGAGATCACAAATGATGAAACTACGACTGATTTCCCAAATTCTTACTGCTTTGTTTTAAATGTAATATGAGCAGTTGGCCAATTTTCATGTTCTGATGTAGGCAGGTATTTCCTTGCTGCATTTATATTTACGAGGAATACACACCCCTGTTCGTGCGGCAGCATGGAAACTGCAGCACCCTCTGTTCCAAGCACGTTCTTTATCCAAAGAGCATTCAGGGTTCTCCAGGCTCTTCTACACAGCCCAACTCCCTGCTTCCTGCAGCGTCCTTCTTTCACTTTGTACACATTTGTGTGTTTCTGCAGCATCTCCTCACTACACCTGGCAAGTGCGTCAGTTTTTGGGTTTGCCAGAAACATGGTTCAGCTTCTCTTTGAGAGAATAATTTCTTCAGCACCTGTGTTTTAGGTTGCTCCTCCTTTTCTTTCAGTTACCTGGTATCATTTGGGATCTAATATTTTTTCTCTAGGTAGGATAAACATTAAAAAAAAAAAAAAAAGAAATCACTTCCTCAGTGAAATTCTGCCCAGCTCCACACTCAATATACAGTAAAGGAAAAGGAATTATGGTGGTTTGCTGGTGACACAGAGATTTTTAGCATTCAGCTACAGCGGAGGTTGTTGGTACGCTAACCCAAGAGACAGGGTGTCAGCTTTACCGCAGTGCAGCCTGAAGAAGCACTCCAGGTACGTGGTTTCGCTGTGCGTGACTGCAATGGACACCTGTACCCTGTGAAGGGATAGCTTTTGCTTTGAGATCTGACGTGGTGAGTGGTGAAGTCAGAGGGAGCAGAGCGAGTCCATATGTTCCAGTAGGTGGAAGCTAAGAAAGGCAAATGCTGCCAAACAACTGAGCAAACACCACAGAGGCTAACCAGGAAAAGTGCTCAGTGGAGATAGGCTGGGGCCCGTGAGCTGCTGGGCTCTCTTCAAGAATGTAAATCTCTTCCTTTCTGACCCAGCAATTTGAGAGAGAAGCTCACGGTGAAGCACAGCTAGAGAAGACTCAGCAGCTGCACAGACTATTACTGATGGGGATTTCCACATCCATATGATTTGCTTCACTTGCTGATACTTCTATTTGTTTAAGGAAGACTTTTGATCGCTAGATCAACAGTCATAGGGTCCTGAAGGGCAGAGACACAGAAGTCCACCCAAAACTGTTACCATAAATGCCTGTCACACACAGAGAGTACAGAATCCCTGTTTAACGATTCTCCATCACCCTGGAAATGTACATGGTTGTCATAGCTTCCCTCCTCCTTAGAAAAGCTTTTATTAGAGCCAAACCCTTAACAGCTGGACACTTCATGTAGGAATTTACATGTGTCAGTAAATTAATCTGCATGATCTAAATGCAGATTAAAACCCCTTTCTCCAAATGAGTTCACATATGGAAAATGATCTCTGTACTTTACAGTTATTTTCCATAACATTCTTCTGTGCCAGAATTAACCTGACAAGATAAAGGCGTCTGTGAAAAAATAAAGGGTTCCTGTGTAACCCATGGTAACAGGGGATACCATGTTCCTCTTGATCGAAGAAAAAGATGGGACAGTTGGGTAGAAGGTAATGGGATGTCCTCTAGTCCCAGGCTGGCTTAGCAGGGAGTGTCTATTATTGCCTAACATTTTTCAGTTTCATTTGCTTTTGTTTTATGATCATTCTGTGAAAAACAAGCTCCAAGGAAAAAATTTGAAAAAAACAGCCCGTGCTTCTTTTTCACTTATTTTCTCTGGTGTGATGAAACTGCCCAGCACTATAAAGCACCTTTAGAGAGGGACTTTTCAAGGGACCTTCTAAACTGCACCTACGTAGCCAACTTCATGAACGAAGTAGAAGTGGCATTTACTAGAATGCATTTATGCTGGAAAGAGGAAATATTTTCTAAATCCAACCAATGAGTCACTGATGGGCTCCCGAATGTCAGAAATTTCTGGTTAGTTCAGAGTCTTTTGAGTACAGCTCATGCACTTTGCTCTCTGCTGCCTAGCACGGGAGCCCATTCATTGCTTGGTGACACTGCTTGTGTGTTCAGCGTAGCTGTTGTACGCCTATCCCCGGTGCAGCCGCACCGTAGGAACTCATGCTTTGAGCACAAGAGGTATCAAGTGCTACTCGGGAGACAACGGTCACAAACCCACCTGATCAGCTGCCCTGATCTTCCTTAAAATGAGCTGTACCACGCCGCTCGCTACATTGCGATGGAGTAATATTAGCCTTCTCTCCACTAAGCAGTGACACACTCATTATTCCTGCATTGTCTATACCACAAATGGGAGCAGCAAAGGGACAACTGCTGCCATGGAAACCTCACCTGATGGCCTTTCTTAGTGGGTTCGTTCCTGCTTGAATACAAGCTATCTTGACGCCGCACAATAAAGGGCTGATCAACCGTAGGCATAAAGCTTCCACACAAGATTGCTGATTACTAATGTTAATGAATGCCTTCAATGTTGCAATTCTAGTAGTCATTATTCCTGTCCAACCTCATTATTAGATAAGCACAGGGGAGCATGCATTAAGATTTACTTAGGAGTGCAAATCTAGATCCAATTTAAGACCCTGTTATTGAACAGGTATAAAAAATGGGTCGTTTAGATAAAAATGAACAGAGGAGAAAAAGTTTAAGCTAAAACTGGACCGGCTACTTTTGAGAGATAAAATTAACTTGAACCTCCTTGTGTTTTGGTTCCGTGGCACTCCATGTAGACATAACCATATGTTTTCAAAGACAAATGTGTTACAGGTCATCAAACTCATTTAGCCATTTGTTAGAACTGGTAAGAAAAGAAGGGATGGAAACATTCTCAGATTGTATTCAAATCAAAATGACTGTTAAAAGAAGTGGCAATTTTCGGAAATTTTCAACCAGCTGGTGTAGAAATCAGAAAAAACTATTTGAAAACACACAATATTGCTTCTTTTTAACAAATCTGTCAAAAATTTGACTTTGTAGCTGGTTTTCACTTCTAGTATACAGTAGATGTTGTATATCTCTCCTATCAAAGTAATCAGGAAACTATGCAGAGAACATACATGTACATTTATTCTTTGGCTATAGATCTTTTGTTAATGAGGAAAAGTAACTACAAAAACTTGCCAGAACCTTGTGGCTTATGTGTGCTCTACCTGTCGCTTTGAGTAATGCAGCTGTTACAACAGCATGTGTAAAACTTAGTCCTGGTAGAAGCAAGCTCAACACGTGGATATATGGCAGAGAACCATGACACCGAAAAGATTCTGCAATGGGAGACATATTGCAGTAAATGGTTGCTTCTTCATGATGGCTGCTCTCAGCTGCAGGAGTCTGAATATACTGGCACAGGCATCACAGCTTGGCGGCACGTTGTGGTCTGAACTCTTGAGAATCTCCACCCATTTCCTGCCCAAGTTGAGCCCTTCAGTGAAATCCGCAGCCAAACAACAAACAGTACTATGTGTTCTGGAAACAGGAACTACTAGATGAGGGGCTGTGTAACTTTTCAAGAGCAGTGAATGAGAGGACGCAGAATAATAATGCATGTCATAACATGGCTGAAGAGCTCCCAATACTCTTCGTCATAACAGAAGAAGCACTTCAACAGAACTCAGAGACAAGAAATTAAAATCTGATATTGGAAATATCTTTCTGCATGATACCTAATTAACCTTTGGAATGCTCTACCCTATCTTTCAGTGATACATCACTGAAGTCAAGATATTCAAACAAGTTTTGACGTATACAAGTTTGGAAGTCTACTTAGTCCACTCCTCTCCTCTGGGCCGTACCATGCAACTCTAACAAGCTTCTGAAGTCAGGAGACTGTACAAGCAATAAGAATGTGTATGGTTATGCTTAAATTCAAAGAGTACAAGGTATATAAACCATCAAGACTAAAGGATCCAAGCATCTACTTTTTGACATAGGTTTTGGAAGAAAACTTCCCTTACAGGCTGGTTATTCCAAAACGGCCTGCTAAACCTTCTCCTGAAACGTTTGACATTAGCTACAGCTAGAGCCTGGATACATGACTACTCTGATCTACTATGGCAGTTCCTTTCTGGTTACTTAGCTCAGTCGGTTAGAGCATGGCGCTAATAACTTCTTGCAGCAGCAAATCCTTTCCCATGTCTTCTGTGCCATTCAGGTTTCCAGTGACTGGCAGAAAGAAAGGCTGAATCTTTGGTCCCAAACAAATCCTAGGCTCGTTCCTGTTGTGGCTACCCTTTCCCAAACAACTGAACGTGGGCATTTTCTACGCTTTTATTTCATGATCACTATTTCTAGCATCACTCTTCCTTTTTCACAGAAAGTAAGAACTTTACCCAGAATTATTAAATTGTGGAACGTCTCCCAGAGGAGGTGACGGGCTTACAGCAACTGAGTCATTCAAAACTTGAATGAAGAAATCATTTGTGGTTATAGAGTAGGTACCAACCCTGTCCTTTCAGAGGCAGGAGCACAATGACCCATACTAAATCTGTTACACTTTTGGTTTCTAATACTGCCTGATGTGAGGCACATTTTCATAAATCCTTATGAATTTTTTTTGCCTTTTTTCCTGCAAAAAAACCATAGGACAGCTTGTTCTGCATCTAATCAGAATTGTTAAGATCTTAGCCACATTAAGATGCTAGGCTTCTTATAAGACCAGCCAGCGAAGCCTAAGTCCTACCTACCCCAAGAATGTACATTGTTTAGAAATTTTAAAGACTAAAAAATAATTTCAATAATCAGTCATCAGTTAGGAAATAACAGCAATCACCCCATCTTGTTCCAGTTTCTTACACTGGATTCTTCTCTATTGATCTGAATGGTGCTGAACAATACGTGGGTCACAGGACTGTGCTACTGGTATGGAGTGGCTTATGCAGTCAGAAGAAGACAAGTCCTGGAAAACGCAGCTGCAAATAATGTCACATGCAAAATATACTCAGCGTGACATGGTGCTGGCACCCTCTGGGATGAACAAAGCTTAGCAGAAATTTGTGTTTATGTACAGGTAGCTAGAATGACAGAAACTCTGCAGATTCGCTGCAAGGTGTTGTCATCTTTGGAAGTCATCTATTTTGATAAATAATATTTCATTTTAAATATAGTAATGGTTGCTATGCCTTCTTGAGCTATATTTTAAGAAGCTGCACAAGCAAGTGAGAATGTATTATCCATGCATGTCATCTGTGATTGTACTGTTGCTTTGACTGAAGCATTTGAGGATGTGGAGGTGGAGGGGAGCCAGAATGTAACAGTCCATAATGGCTATGTCAGACCTAACAGGCTGAGGATCCATGCAGCTCTCTCTTGCTGAAAGCACTTCTGCTCTCCCACCCCCCTTCTGGGTCAGGTACAGGGAACGCTAATCTTCTCCTGGCCTATTTCTGCTGCTTCTACTTCTTCCTACTCTTTCCTGTTCCGAGTAGCTCTGGCTCCAACTCTTTTCTCCTCCTCTGCATTGTCTCATCTATCACCCACCTCTCCATCAGCCTTCCACTCTGATTTCAAAGCCTGTCTCTCTCTCCTCCCCTCCCAGCTTTTTCCATTTACTTGCATGATTTCAGCTTTCAAGCTGCTGACCTGTGAGCTGCACATTTCCTTACCCATTTCTCTTTTAACCCATAGTTCTAGTTCATCACTTTTACTTGCCTGGAAGGACTTTCCACCTGTTCTTCCCCAACCACTGATTCCTCTGATCTCTATTGAACTTCCGTCCCCAGTGCTCACTTCCAAAAGCATTCATGACCCCCTCCCTACATACGGACCCTCAGCACACCCTAGCACAGCCATGCTGTGTCTCTCCTGCTCCATCAGCACCAGCAATCTCAGAAATCCTTCTGTTTTCTCAATCCTGCCCTTCTTTATCGATATGCCTGTCAATTCCCACCAAGCTTCATGCTCTAACTCTCCATCCCTCTATTCTGAAAGTCAAGGTTTGTCCTAGCAGTCTGCACCCTTATCCTTTTGCCAACATCTGCTCCTTCTGATCTTTCTCTCCTTCTATGGAGAATCGCTAGTGGAAATCCTACAGCAAGGCTGACAGCATTGATCTCAAATTAATTCCAAATTCTCAGTGTACATTCCTTTCTTAAATTTGTTCAAGAAGAATTCAGCAAATTACCCCATCTAAATGCTCTCCCTTGGCAAATCTACAGAACTGTCCTAAAGTCACTTCAAGAGAAACTTTATTTTCAAATGAAAGTTTAAAGGTACCTGAGCTCTTTAAATAGATTTATCAAAGAATCAAAGAATGAATCAAGTCCAAGCTTGGCACATGTGGAGGCAGTTCCTAGTGTTTTTGAGATAGCGACAAAAGACCAGATCAAGTCTTTTGCTCCTAAACATGTAGCCCAGCATGACTAGAGCACTGGAGTCAGGTTCTTAGGGTCTGTTTTTTTGGCATACTCAAGTGCTCAAAAGCAGAGGGAACAAGAAAACCATTTTAAATAAATGTATTTGTCTCAGTTTATTTTAGGGACGTATTAGGCTCTGATACTAGTTACCATGAGGTCATTCTTATTACAAGGAGCAACACATTTCTGGCTCTTTTCTGTTCCTTGACAACCAACTCCATACAGCCATTGGCAGTATTTTCTGGTAGTACTGGCAAGCTCTTGGGTTTTCTTAGCACTGTCTAGATTTAACAACTCAACACAAACTGTGACCTTTTCAAGCCATGCTAAATAAAGCCAATCGGCCTTTCCTGTCTTATCCCATGGCCTTGATCCTGAAAGTCCATGTATGGTCTGCGACAGGCAATGCAAGTCTGTGAATGCTCTGCCTGGGCACAGTTCCTTAAAAGCAAGGGAGAGCTCCCCCTCACAGAGAGAGCATGAGCTAAGTGAGCCTACTCAGATGCTCCCTGACTGAAAGGAGAGAATGCAAAAAAAAAAAAGAAAGAAAAATAGAAGAAGTTTTTACTCTTCAAGAAGGGATGTTTCTCAGATAATGTGTCTCTGAATAATGCTCAAGGGATATCAAGTTATTTGGCCACATTCTTCCAACTTCAGTGATTCTATTCTGAATCGTTTGCCTGTTTTGTCACTTATCAAATATATATAATAAAAGCTTGCTACTCTACTATCTCTTCCGTACGTGAAAGATTCAGTCACATATGAAATAAAACAGAAGCTCTCCTCTACCTGGAGTTGAAAAAAATGCATTAACAGAATCAAACCTAAACAATATCCTCCTGTATGCTCCTTTACAGTACAAAGTATGACATGGTAGATATATCATGTAGCATGATAAGGTTTCAGCTGAGGTGGGGAGAGTTCAAAATTCAAGGGCAAAACATAGAGAACATCTGATTAGCAACTGTCTCCACTTTATATTCAGAGAGTTGCAGTGAAAACACTTCTGCTGAGGGGAAAAATGATGTAGGGAGAAGGACAAATTCCCAAGTGGCAGATCCCTAACCTCTAGGTAAAAAACCATAAACCAAGAACTAAGCCCTAGCAGGGGACCCACGGACAACCAAAGGTACAAAGGAAGGAAGTTCCACCAGGCTGTATGTAACTAGGTCATTTGCAGGTGTAGTCTCATTTTAATTCACTGTGCTAACCTTGAGGGGTCTAAAAGGTACACCAACAAGGGCAGCAAATCTGAATTAAGTAACTGGAACCCTCTAAGTGATTAAGGTCTCTACTTCAATGTGGTCACTTAGCAGCAGGAAGATAGTGGACCTCAGCTATGAAAGGTAGGCACACTCTGAGTGAGAGGGATGATAAAAACCCCACTTTTCATACTTTCTGGTACATTTTCCCAACCTGTGAATGTCAGATACATTGTGTTGATATCATCGAGCCAAGATTTGGCCTGCAGCCTCAACCAAATCTTGGGTAGAGACTTCAATACCACTTGTAGGCTGAAGACATGCAGGACTTGCAGATGATGGCACAGTGTAGCCTGTGTCTGCCTCCAGTCTTCCCCAAAGACCTTCTTTCATAAGAGTAGAAGGAGAAATGGGCTGTAAGTGCAGAATTTAGCAGGATGACTTTAGGCTGAATAAGTAATTGTCTCAGACCATCTTTAGAGAAATCACAACTTGGAAGAGGGTGAGTCACTTCAGAGTAGCCCTATCCATTTTGGAAATATTGTATGTATAGGCAAAACAAATAAACAGCAAAAGCAAAGGGAGCTGCTCATAGGCTGTAACTGGCTACCTGCTTAGTAGTTATTTTCTTAATGCAGAATCTTCTTCCCCTGCTTTACTTGTCCTACAATTTCCTTTTACCTTGTACTGCAGGATGTAGGTGCACTGTAGTGGGCCCAATCAAGTCATATGAGTATCACACTGATACTCTAAGAGCTTCTTAAAAGATTTTAAGACACTTCCTGTTTTATTTCACTTGCAGAACTGGATTGTTTCAATTTTCTATTCCTATTGCATGTGCCTACTCAGATGATTTTGAGAAAACAGGAGTTGCCATAGGAGGTCAGATCACAGGTACAGTAACTCTGCCAACTTGTCTCCAGGCACCCTTCAGAGGAAGGTCAGGAAATATCATAGTTATGCATTATTATATATGGGTTAAAAAAAATAATTCCTTTCTCCTGAAGGAATCATTACGTGCCTTTTTGCATGAGGCTGTCCTTATCTTACAATTACAAATAGTACTCTTTTTTTAAGAAGGGTATGTATGTTCATAAAAGCAAATGTGACTGTTGTCCTGGGACACAATATCCCACTTCAGCTGGATTACTTGCATTTTATGATCACCCAGTGTGTGTGGATGTGTATGAATAATGGCCTCTCTTTCACTGGGCTGAAGGGGCAAGCTGCATAGTTGAAGCAGTATGACACTACTGCCTTGAGCCTGTGTTCCTGTCTCATTAGTTTTATCTCACTTGACTGGTGGAAAAAGTGGTATTATCCACAATTTCGGAAAATATCCTCTTAGCTGAGGGAAGGGTGTTGTGAGGCAAGAAGAAAGGATATGAGAAGTAAACAGGGGGTCATGAAATTTTTGCAGAAAGGATAAAGGATATATGGTATCAAAGGAGCATTGTAAATAAAACAAAGGTTTAGTGAAAAACAAAATTCTAGAATGACCAAAGTAAATTAACTCTGTCATGTAAGTCAGGTGCTTGAATAGAAACTGACCAAAGACTTCATTTAATGTTGTGTAAGAAAGGTTATTTCTGTTTTAGTTTAATTTTTCACAAACATTTGCATTTTTTAAAACAAACTTCAGAGTGTTTGGATTACTGGCTTATTCTGTAATCAGTTTTACAGGAAGAATTTATGAACTAGTAAAGAAAAAAGACAGTGTTCTATCTTTTCTGTTGCCGCTTAAATACTGATGCAGGAAATCATTTGCCTATTCTCAATTTTATTTGATAGAACAAAAACCCTAAGCTATAAAACTAAGGTCCAAGAAAAACATTTAGCTTGAAAAAGGTTGAAAAATGTACCCTTGGAAAGACCACTGCTTACATGGGATTGTTCAACAAATTCCTGTTGTGTGAGGTTTGGCATATACTTTCTAAAAATATAAGCATCTGGGGAAACCAGACAAAGCCCAGGTCTTGGACCAAACGAGGCATGCAGCATGAATCTGTTAGCGATTATATCCATAATGAAATATGTGCCCAAATTTAGCAGTACAACCCCCCCAATACAATATGAAAACACGGCATGTACAGCCCTTACCATAAAATATAGCCAACAGCGAAGGTGCACACTGCAGCCAGTCCACAGCTCCTGCTGGGATACTGATGATGTGTTGTTCTCATCTCGATTAATACAAAGGGCAAAACTGTTGTATGCTGAAAAAAACCAAAACAACAGGGGAAAACCAGGTGATACAAATGATTCTCACTGCATTTCCATGACAGTTCTACAACAAGAAACTGAATAACAAAAACGTGAAGACAATTTCTTGATGGTCTAAGAAAGACAAGGTAAAATGACTCTAGGAAGTCAATCAATAACCCAAACAATATTGTTGCTATAACGTCCAATTGTTTGAGAGAGCAGAGGAAAACTGAGTGAGCAGAACGTGCTTTTCCTTTTGGCCAGGAATGCAAGGCGGATACTCAGTGAGTAAAAATGGGATGTGGCATGAGGGGCATAGGCCCCAGCCCCAGTTTGGCCTTGCAATCTTTGCCACATCACAAAGTTTTTTTGACCATTCAAGTTAGGAGGCAATGCATCTGATTTTCCGAGACTCTAGGCACAAACAATGCCAAATGAATGAATATAAATGGAGGTATTTAACGCTTCCGAGAATTAGGTTTAAATTTTTCTCAATCTGGGGACTTGAAAACAGGGGACATATTTTCAAATGATAGCCTCAATACCTCTGTTCCTCCATCTGTAAGACAGGAGCAATTATCTTCTTTGGAAAGGTGTTGTGAATCTTAATTTGTTAGTTGTTGTGCAAAATGGTTTTAGATTCCCAAATGAAACATATGAAAGCCAAAGCTGTAAAACCCATTTTCATCCACTTGTCTTTATTTAGCTGTGAAAGTCCTTATTTTGTCATTTTTCCATATACATTTCCTACACTGCCCCTTCTGAGAAGGTCTGTTCACCCAATTAATGTCAGCAGCATGAAAAACTGCATCTAGCCTGCCCCCAACACTTGATGTCTAGATTTCAGAGTGCTGGTGGGCATGAAAATATACATAAGCAAAGCACAAACATGCCAGGAAATAAACCCCATCATTTCTCAATACACAGATCACCTAGAACCAGCATTATTGGTGACTCCAGAAACATACCCTGCTTTGCCACCATGGCGACAAGTTATCGCTGGTGTCTAAAGGGAATTACTACGGTTGAGAACTTGGCCCTGGGGCTTGGTGTGACTGTGAGCATGAACTCTCCTGCCCAGTCCACAGGGAGGTCTGCAGGCGCAAGAATTGCAAGGGCAGCCTAAGCCCTAAATCAGGTTCAATCCTTCCCCAAGCATTTGATCAACAACTGGAAAAGAAGGTTATGGCTTACACTGGCCACGTTCTGCCATTGGATGCACACATGTAGTTTTGGGGGGAGCTGGAGGGCCAGATTTGTCAGTTTTGTAGTAATTATGCTGTAAACCCACACAATTTTCACCAACATGAAGGCAGGACAGACATGGAGTAGAACTATCCTTGTGTGGATAAGAGGTCCAAATGAGAGGAACCAGAGCAGGGGCTGAGCCTTTAACAACTGCGGAGAAGGAAGAATTGTTTGAATGGGAAATGATAGCATAATGGAAATGCTCTGGCTCAGAGATGTAATGTAATATGAATTGGATAACTGCTCTGATTTTCAAGGCATTAGTAATTAATGACTAGCATTTGGAGAATGTCAGGTGGATAATACAGCAGTTAGGGGAGCTTTCAATTTCTTCATCTTTTAACAATTTGTTCCGCCCCCATCCCTTTAAACAGTATAAATCGGCATCAAGGGAATGCAAAGACGTTTTACATGTGGTCTGCAACAGAGGTGCCCACTAGTAGATGAGAGTTCTATAAACTGTGCAGGACCTTTAGAGTCCATTAACAGGGACTGACAGCAAAGCAAACCCTGGAGATTCACCTGTATGTCTTACACCTGTATGGAAAAGGTCTTCAGACAAGAGATCAGTACCTCACTCTGCACAGCCCCCAAAGCAGGGTAGCTGAAGGCTGTGCAAATGTCTCCTGCCCTGCCTCCATAACCTCTTCAGAAGAAAAAACGGAAGACAACAAAGACTTTTGACTCCAAACCCCACCCTTGATATTTCTTGAATGATGTACTCTGGTGATCCAGTCACTCTGTCTTAACTATTCACTATATGGATGACGGTTACAGAGCTTGTGAGTTCTGTTTCTCAATTGAAATGTTTACTGCTTTAGATATTGCTTGTTGATGCACTCTTCATTGCTTCATTGATGATAACAACTCAACAGCTTGCCAATTAAAAAGTAGTTAAAATAATTTCAGCAATCAACCCTTAATCTAGAGTCCTTTTCTCCTTTCCCTCCTCCCAATTCCTGTGGTTATATAATAAAATAGGTCATTATTTTCCTAAATTCTCCCTTCTGCTCTTTTCTAAAAGCAAGGGGAGGGGAGGAAGAGGATAATGACCTGTATCATTAAAGAGTTTATGTACAAAATCCTGTCAAAAGTACAGTGCGAATAAAAGAGTAAGGAGAAAATCAGAGATGTGTATGTTTAATCTTTGTCTGTTACAGCAAATGTTGATGCTAACTGCAAACACTGCAGTTTTACAAATGCAGAGTATGAACATTGGTTTAAAATGTTCTAGTGAAACTGCCACTCTAAAAAATTGTTTCAGATGCTTTACCCAAACTACAACCAAGATAAAATTTCTCTTTCCTACATTTCAGCCCCTCCAAAAACCTTAATTTAAAAAACATGAAATTTTGTAGGCAGGGATACCTTCTGTCAAACAGTGCCAATTAAAACTTTGGAGCTATAAATACCAGATTTGAATCAGACTGGCACGTGGACTGAAGCCTAGTGATGATGAGCAGGGGTCAAATGTGCTTGGAGTGGGATCCATCAGGGCTGGGAAAGCTGCAGGAGGCCAGAAATTTCATACCCTCTAATGTTTTTGCCACCTGATTTCTGAATAAACTTGGGCCAATGGAAATCTGAGGCTTAGAGAGAAAATAACATTGATGCTTCCTTGACCTGCTTGTTAAAGATCACATGGTGCCAATCAAAGATGCCCAACTGGTATCTCTGGGACTGATCCCTTTTACTTACTGGCAGGCTGGAGGACAGCACAACAGTTCTCACCTTGTTTGTCAAAGTATCTCCAGGGCCTTACCTGAGAGAAGATTAAGGGATGAGGAAGTTCAAATAACAAGGAGGTTTAAATGGTGAGGATGATTAGCTGCTGCAACAGCTTTCCCGTAGTTGCTATTTTACACCATTTAAAGTCTTTAAGAAAAGGGCAAATTTATAATTGGAGTATAATGACTAGTATAGCATTGTAATAGTAGTAAACTATGCTAGCACTAGTAACCAATGCTATATTGATAAGGCACTTTTATTATGGACTGTTTACAAGCAAAACTGCATTTTTACCTGGACAGCTTACTCTGCTCCCACTGAGACCAGCTGCTCCTGTGAGACAGTTTTGCCTGCATGACTGTGCTGACACTAGAGACTTGAGCTGAGCAATGCTGTGGGGATGTCAGGGAGCACCCTCTCCAGCAGCCGGAAAGGCGACCTTCACTGCACGTGCACCCTGCGGTGACTGCAGGTTTGGGGTAGGGCATAGCCCCCAGCCCTGCCAGGGCAGCAGCGAGGGAGCTAACGAACCCTATTGTTAGCAGGAGCTCTTAGCCTGGGCTCAGTAACTATATCTACTTGCAAGAAATGTACCCTGTCAGCTTCTCCCGCCATGACTGTGGTGCTACCTGCCAAGGTGCCCTCTGCAGCCACAAATCCCTTTTTCTCCGGAGTGCCAAGGCAGTGACCCTCAGACCCATTTTTAACACCTCTCTGAAGGATCCAAGACTGCCTTGTGAGTTGAAGTGTGGCCGTAAGCCCCCATTACCTGGCCGCAGCATTGCCCTGCTCAGACCCCTCGTGCCCCGTCACTGCCTGTCCCTGCAGCAGGGAAGGGAGCTCTGAGAGATCTTTGTGCTTGCTAGGTCTGCTAGCAAGTGCTGGCCTCTGCAGAGCAGCAAGCTGCTATTTTCTCCCCATTTTGTGTCCGCCACACAGCACTGCTTCCTGAGGTCCTATCATCTACAAGGGGGAAGAAATTCGGCTTGCCGAATCTTCGACTGCTGGCAATGACGCATAAAACCACAGAGAAAGCAGCCTGATGTGCGGCGCTCGGGTGGAATCTGCAGGAAGGTTATCATATGGAGAATTTGATCCAGAAAACACTCGGGAGACTGACTCCAAAGAAGCAACCTCTGAGTGAAGCTGAATTAGCACACACTGCAAAAAAGCCACCCCGAGACCTGCAGGTGGATTAATTCCTAGAACCACTGCCATTGCTTCCTGAGAGAAACTGCTCATTAATGACTCTTTAAAAGATATTTTTAAAATACGCACAACCTCCCACATGCTATGTATGTGCCTAATGGCATTTGAGACTGGAAAATCACATTACAAATAGGCAGCACATCGGTAATGTTGGCTTGACAAATTGAGATTTGATGGAGGACTGTGCTCCCCCATTTTAGGTGTGTGCTGCAACAGGTAGTTGGAAAAAAAAAGATTTTATGCAAATCAGGTACATTAAGAATGAGTTCTGTAATAATCTTTGGGCAAATTAAGTGCTCATTCTTGAAAGCCTGATTATATATTTTATCTTCCAACCAGTAAGTGCTGCTTTTTTTAACACTGTTTTCATCAATACCTTGCTTGGCCTTTTCTCCTCCCTTAACTGTGTTTTAAAGGGAATGTTAAAGCATTTCAAAAGGTAATAGCAGTAATAAAGCTGCATTTTCCACATGCTCCTGGCAGAATAACGTGGAGAACCAGATCAGAAACTAGTAAAACAAGGGCATGATTATGATTTACTTGTTGAGAAACTTCTGAGAAAGGAACAGCTGGCAAGAGAGTATTTACGTGTCATCTGAAGGATGATACCTTCCACCAAGGCAGCCTAATCCATAAAGAGAGCAGCAGGATATCAGAGCTGGATACATAATAAATTGGAATCCTTGAGTGAGCCTGAGCCCTTCTGAGACTGAAAGCGCTGGTAGCACTTTTCCTCTTACAAATGAGAAATTATGACTATTAACTGAGACACGCTGATGCACAGGATGCACTCCAAGGCAGCCACAGACGGCTCGTTAATTGTTAT